ATAGCGAGGCTAGGCTGTGGTTAAGGCAAATTTATCGACGGTTGTCTGGACGAGTTTCAATAAGACGGCCCTACTATGCTGAAATACACCGCAATATCCCATACGCAATAGTACAAGCCATGTCGTTAGTCATCCAGCAGTGTCCTGATGAGCTTAAGGAACCTGTCTGTTACTCATCAAAAAACAAGAAAGGCCATGTTATTAGTTTTACCACCCGGGATGCAGTTATTTGGTTCCTTAGTGTAATTACCAGTATGAGTAAAATAGAAGTGAGAGCCTTCTTGACCAAGAAATTGAAAGGTGCGAGGAGAAACAAACACAGAGTTAAAGTGCTTGTAGAAGATGGTAAGGATTTTGCCTTTGTATACTATCATAACAAAGGGCTGATGTCCATCCAGTTTCACTATGGTGAATGGAACACACATGATTACCCTCAACATCCATGCCAACTTACTTGAAAAAAGAAAATAAATATTGTTAAGCATAGGCATATTACTGTTTACATGTAGGTCTATTCTAGATCGAATTAGGATTTAAAAGGTGATTTTTGCTGAATGAGGAAAACTGGATAAATACCCTCAAAGCAGAGGAGGAAATCAACAAACCTTACTTAAATAGCCAGGAGTAGATCCACGCCTCCCTGAGAATCAATTTATTGCTTTATTCTATTATCTAGTTTTGCCACAGGATTTTTTATATGTTTGGGCGYTCTCCCTCCCCCCACAATATTCCTGGATCCACCTTTGGCTATTTATAAAAAAAGGAAATACTGCAAGGGAGATAATGGTTTTATATTTCAAATAAAATCACTATCAAAACAAAAACAAAAGAAAAGATGTAATACTCTAAGTTGTCAGTAGTATTTAAATAGTGTTTTAATTTTAAGTAAAAGTACCACAAAATCATCAAGCATAACTTTTGAATGAAGAAAGGCATCTATTATATGAAGGCGAAAAGAAGTATTACAAGACTGTCTTTCATACATATATTTATATTTACAGTGATAAAAATGCTAATTAATCAACACAAAAAGAAATATTAGACTCTCAATATTGTGAAGCAAAATTGAACTGATTTTTACATTAAGTCAGACACATGCTGATATAATAATAAATAATAAGAAATTCTATACTTAAACACACTTTTCTGTATACAAAAAAACTTATATTTATATTTACAGTGATAAAAATGCTATAAAAATATTTAAAATCCAGGTAAAAAGAATTAGAGTACAAACACTAAAAGTGTGCAACACTTTGCACTATTTAGTAGTAAATACTGCTAATTAAAAGGGTTAGCATTATTTAGCAGTATTAAGTGGTATTTAATAATGGTACACACTTATAGTTTTGTACTCTATTACAAGACTGTCACTATTATTAAGCAAAACTTAACTGATTTTTACATTAAGCCAGAAGCATGCTGTGATAGAGTGCTTTTAGTCTC